TAATTTTTATTAAAGAATATTGTAACCTTATTGCCGAATATTTTTTAACTAGAAATATTTTTTTGCCAAATGATTTTTTTGTCAAATGATTTTATTGCCAAATAATTTTTTTGCCGAATGATTTTATTGTCGAATACTTATTTTTTGCCAAATATTATATTTTTTTTTGCCGAATAATTGTGTGTCTTTTAAGTACCGAGTGGCATAAATTGGACCAAACAACAAAACTTCGGTATAAACTTTTATTAATAAATTTGGATTTCATCGGCTGTAATTCGGCAGCCAAATAACCCAATTTGGACTAGTGATATCTAGTAACTGCGTAACCATTATATACTTTCATAGAGTGATTATTATTCTCGATTGGAAGAATACAAAAGCGGGTGACCTTTTATTAACAGGTTGTTATGATAATGTCATATAAAAAGAATAGATAATCAAACTTCTCAAGTCACTTTAAATTGAACATCCCATTAAACTATATTATGGATTTCTAAAGCATATATTCAAAACATGAAAGGTTTGGATTCTTTAAGTCGAAATGCTATGATATTCTAAGTAATGCTTTATTTGTATTGTTAAATTTATATAAATAAATAAGTATTTGCAATTACATTCCTTACATACTATAGTATTCTGAATGATTACTTCTGGTCGTTTGACCTGATATAACACATTTAATACTATAGTATTTCAGGTCGATTGTCAACCAAAACCCATAGAAATTGTTTTAATCAACCAATCACCATATACAATACTGTATGTACTATAATTATGACATAATTTTGTATGCATCATAAATTTCACTTTTTTTGTGAGAATTTGTTTGTACTTTTTGTAGGTGAAGCCTATATGCGCTATACGTGTTTCATATGTTTTGTACGTAAAGCCAACCAAAATATAAGCAAAGGAACTTAATAGGTGAAGCCAAGAAGATATGCGCTATATGTTTTATATGTTTTGTACATGGAGCCAATCGAAATATAAGAAAGAGAACTTAACAGATGAAGCTGAAAAGATATGCGCTATATGTTTTTCATATGTTATGTATGTGGAAACAACCGAAATATAAGCAAAAGGACTTAATATATAAAGCCAAGAAGATATGCGCTGTGCGTGTTTCATACTGTGATGGTTGTTCAGCGTAACTGTCAATGAGGTAAGGGTTTTTATAAAATTTAAGGTGTGTTCGATTTGGCTTTGTAATTCACTGTCCTTTATTTACTTTTGCCTTCATCTTTTTATACATTTTAGTTGGGACGGTTTTTACTTCAATTATCTAATGTCTTCTCGTGATTCTTTCTAATTACAGTATATAATGCTCAATTACAATGATTTTATATTACTTAACTGTTTTTATGATTTTCCCCTTGTTACCTAACTTTCTAACATGCTATTTTATTACTATTTTAACTATTTCCCACCACTTTCACCTACAACTCTTCCATTATACCACCTTAAATACCATTATAGGAATAGGTCCTTTACAGCACTACTCATGACTATTAGTCATGTGACCAGTGTCACGTCACGATTTTTACTTCTCCCGCACTTATTTTATGTGTACCACGCATAGAGTTTTTAGTTAGGTGGATTGATTGTGATGGTCTTGTCAGCGAATGCTAGTTGTTAATCAGAGGTTAGGTCATTAATCATCTTTTTTCTCCATTTGTGTTTGATCTCACAGCTTGTCAGGTGAGTAACCTCCATAAAACTTATGATTAAATGTTGGTACAGCGTGGCTTTTATGGTAATTCATGTCATCGGCTTAACTTTGCTGCCTTCTTTATTCCCACCTGATAGGGTCTTCCAATTGACTAGGATGACAGGTGACATATCATTGATACTGTTTGGGTCTTGACTTATGTGCATGTATCTATGTCAGTGCGATTTTTCACAGGTACATTGTCGCAGTTTCTTGATCCTTATTCCACATCTTCCGTTGTCACCATCTCCGAATTCGGCATTTCCTAAAAAGCCTATTTTTTTCATCTCCAGTCGAGTATCTCCAGGGTCTGGTTTATTGTCCGCGGAGTTGTTTTACATGATGTTATATTCTCCTCCTTGGTTTCGATTATTCGTGTGATGATTGATCATTTTTTTGTGTCGAAGGGTTCATTGCATGGGTTGGCTCACATAAGTGCTGTCTTTTTTTCGCCTTCGAGGCATCCTCCAGCATTATCTTCCTCTTCACTGTTGTTGCTCTCATCATTTTTGGTCTTTAGGATTCCATTATTGTCGAGGCATTCCTCCAGATCCTTACTTGGGTGGCTGGTCGTCATTTTCTCTGAGTTCGGGGCTTCTAAAGGGGTATTGCTGCAGCTTATGCTCTTGTCATTCTTCCTGTCGCTCGTTATTTGTACTGATTTTTCTTCTTTCATGCTTATGACTATCAGATTCGTATGTATGAGTTTGTGTCCTTCTCCTGGGTTGTGATGGATGGTCATTTTCTTGTGTTGAAGGGTTTGTTGAGCGGGTTATCATATACGAATGTGGTCTCCTCTTTTAAGCATCTGTTGCTTCTATGGTTTTTTATTGGTGCATTGTCGCGGCTTGTCTTCCGGTCGCATTTCTCTTCCTTCGAAACGTTTTTCGTTTCATTCGTGGGTCGCTATTGGCTTTTCTTCTCTTTTTGGTTTGTTTTCCGCTTTGTCACATGTCAGGTTGGTTTCTTATTGCCCTTTGATTTTTCTTCCCCCTTGGGTCCTGCATAACTATTCTGTCAGTTTCTTCTAATTGGCTCACTATCTTGTTTACGTCGTCTTTTCCCATACCACTTTGATTTGATAGACTTTGTCATCATCGAAATATTCTGTTGTTTCTCCTAGATATTTGCCTGTGTTCTTTTGTACAGTTGGTATCTCGTTGGCAAGGTCTAGTGTTCTGTTTGTTTGTTTTGCCATCATGTCACCGTTTTCTTGATTTAACATCCCGGCATCGGCATTCATCAAGGCTTCATCGTAGGTGGATCTTGATACTTCGTCTGGTAATTCCACTGGAGTATCCTTCCTAGGTAATCATCTGTGGTTTCTTCTGCAGGCACGTTCTTATTTCATGGGTCGGGGTGTCTCGTCGTCGCTCTTGATGTATAATAGATATTCCAGCTCCCCTCTATTCTTTCTGAGTTGTGCTCCATCCATCCGTGGTGACCCTTGGGAACAACCTTCCTTTTTTGGATAATCCTCGGAGCCGTAGGTTTCCTAAGTGCCTCTTTTTGGCATGAACGTGTTTCTAACGGCAGGCAACTACAATACATCATTCCTCAGTCTGACTACGAACAACCATCTTGCTGCTTCTCTGGAATAATCGTTCTTAAGATAAAGCTTCTTAAGTAGCTTTTTAAACCTTTGGACATATTTGATTATTGCTTCATCCTTCCTCTGCTCGAAATTCTCTAATTCCAATTGCCATCGGCACCGTTGCTCAAGCAATGTGAAATGCTGTAGAAAGGCTGGCACGAAGCTTCTTTCATCATTACACTCGTCCCAATAGACAAACTGGTCACGATTATCCTTGTACCATTCTTTTGCAATACCTTCCAGATAATTACCTATTCCTTTCAACTTCTTTTTTTCTGACCAACCGTTGGATTCGGTGACCTTCTCATAGCGTTTTAACTATGGTGCCAAAAATTGGAATCGAATAGAATTGAACAGAATCACATGAGGTTCAGAATACTATTAAAAATAATGGTGGGGTATACCCCACCTATTAAATTTAATATAAACTTGAGAATCAAATACAGAATCGAAGAGAATCGTTAGGATCCTTAGTTTTAACCATTGTTGTGAGTCTTTTCCAACTTTATCCTCAAAGGAAGACAATCTAACTCAGTCGACTTCTATTCTTTCTTTTGGCTTCTTAACTTTTGAATTTCCCACGTCGCCAAAAGTATATGCTAGCACTTGCAAGACATCTAGCTGCTGGAGAAGTCTGATAGTTACATCGCCACCAATTTGGAAATTTATTGCCATTTAAAAGATTGTCATAAGTGTCACATGGGTATTTTTGTTTATAACTATTTCGAGGTATTAATATCGTTCTAAGTCTTTATCATTAGTTTCTCTTGTTGCGCCTTTGTTAGGTTGGGTAATTCTTTTCTCTAACTGCTGCGTAGGTGTCTAAAAGGATAGGATAAGTAAAAGGAAAGTAAAGGTTATGAAGTCAGGTGGTAAATAAAGGATTTTATTAGTCTTTAATGTTTTTTTTTTCTTTATAGGGGTCAGAAAAGTGTTAAAAAGGTATTCATGTAAAAATATCGGAGTGGGGTAATGAAGCGTCAAATATCAGTCACCACCAAATTTGTGATGGTCGATTAGAGAGTTTATCGCTAAAGTGGGCAGAGTATCATATAACCATCGATGTGGTAAGAGATTTTATGAAGTTTAAGGCATTTTCGATTTGGCAGAGTAAAAGATAATTCACTTCCTCAATACTATTCTTACAATAATACAAATCCAAAAACTAATAATAAGATGGAACAAAGTTAAAGCACACAATCACAATTCCAACAATGACAAAGTAGACTCGATGGCCAAAGAAGCATGCCACAGGCCCGAAAATTACATTGACTTCAAATCAATTAACTATCAACAAATGAACTGGATACTACAATGGAAAGGACATATATTTGACAATACTATAACAAAAACTATTAAAAATATAATCTGTACAAAATACATTATCAATTGGAAAATACTAAATCGTAACATAAACACTTTAGACCAATACACAATTGATCACATAGATTGGTTATTAATACTCAAATCCAAGCAACCACCACACCTAACATCAGGAACCACAAACCAACAAGACCACAACACCAGAAGTTTCCGTCTCAAACTATAGAACCTAAAACTTCTCTCAAAAGATAAACTACACAAATGCTCTCCTACAGTTTATCTAGATGATACATGCCCAAGATATAATAAAGCGACAGAAACTAATATATACATAATGACCTGTGAAAGCAATAAAACAAATATATCAAAAACAATTATACAAATAATCAATGAAAAAATCACAGGCCAAATAACAAAACTAACAGGTCCACAACTTTACAAAAAAATTAGTCAACATGTTCAAAACTGGTTCAAAGAAACAAAAAATCTTGCCATAAGAAAAACATTAATTCACAAAATCATCTTTATAATCAAAGAATTTATATTCTTAACAGAACAAAAAGAAACAATTAAAAACATCTTCAATAAAGTCCTCAATAGCTTAAAAAAAATTTGAATGCAATGTAATAAAATCTTCTCAAAATAGGAAGAAGCAAATAACATAATCAAACAAGATAAATGAAAATAGACAACAAACATATATAAAAGAACAAATACAAAATCACATATATCAGGAATCAACTCAATTATGAGTTATGCAATAAATAATTGGATAAACTGGAATATACTTTATAATTATAGAATTTCTTTTAATATGAATTGATAGAGCCTTGACAAATTAGTCAAGATATATCAATTTTTGACAATAAGTTGCACAGTAAGGGAAACCTTTAGTGAGTTTAGGGAATAGATAGAGTTTTAAATTTGTAAAAGTTTGTAAAAACACTCAATATAATATTCAATAAACAAGGTGTAAGCTGCCTATTAAAAAAAAAGTTAAAAAAAATAATATTGAATTTATTGTTAATAATTAATATATATAATATCTTGCATATATTATTAAGCTTATAGTTCAAAAATATTACAAATATTAAATATTAATAATAATATTATTCAGATAATAGCAATATCTTATAAGATAATAACAATATATTACAAGACAATAACAATATAATTACTGATCTTTTATTTAAAATAAGTTTAATATTGTTTATATTTAAATAACAAATAGAAATTATAATTATTAATAAATTAATTTACTTTTAATTTTATAAATTTATTTTAAAATTAAAGCTTTATTATAACAACAAAAAAATTTTTTGTCCAATGTTAAGTAGCTAAAATATTTAATAAAATAGTTATATTAGATGTTAAAACATAATAGAATTTAACATATGATATGTTAATTAAAGCTTATAAACTAAAAAAAGTAAGTTAATTTAATTTAAATTAATTAATTATAAATAATGATATTTAAATTTATTATTTGAGTTATTTAATATATTAAGTAATATCAATTTCAATATTTATAATTTTACAATATAATTAATAAAAATAAGTAGATATATTTAGAAAAAATTAAAAAATTATTAAAAGTATTAATTTTAAAATATTTTATAATTATAATTTTTTAAGAACTAAAAACTTGTGAGTCTATAGCACAGTGATTAATACTTCACAGGTCAGATTATAAGATAATAGTTTAAATCCTTTAGGAGGCTAATGTAAAACCTCTAAAAAAACCAAAGAAGAAAGGATTGATATCTTTTAGTTACTATTACAAGATATCAAGTTTATTTTCAAGCAAAAGCAATTGGATTATCTCAATATGATATTTGATACTATAATCTAATACATGTTATTTTCAATAAGAAATCAATTCACATGTTGATTTAATAAGTGTTAGGATTGTAATACCAAGAAAAAATGTAGCAGCATAATAATTATTTAGCAATGTTATAATTATTATTGTCAAGTTTGTTGCTTTCTTTGTTTTTTATCCATAGAGCATGCTTCCTTATCTCTTTAGTTCACAAGATTATAAAAGAAAACCAGATTTTTCAAGAGATTAAGCTAGAGCCACAAAGACTTCTTGTTGGATATGGCTAGTTCATGGCTGATTATATTAGGATATAGTTCTTTGAGTTTTCATTTATTGGATAGTGGTGTTATCGTTGTTTTTGATAAGTCTGTCACTATCCCAGGACTAGTACTTGCATAACAATAGGGTTCTTGTAAGTTTTTCTCTCTTTTAAGACATGTATCTATTTGGTCAAGTGCTTTCATAAACTTGCTTCGCTTCTATTACTAGTTTGATACTTGATTCATATTGCAGTTTTTTTTTCTGGCCTTCTTGGATCTTCTGCGAAACACTAGTAAGTCTCTATAGAGAAGAAAATAACAGGTATAAATAATAGTTTAATCCTTTATTAAATAAAGATTACCAATTACAAGATTACAAGTTATGCTTATTATTAGATTATTCTATATCTATTTATACTACTAGTAATATGTACAATTATCTATTGTTATATTATGCAAATTACTCTAAGCTCAAGAAGCTTCAGTGCCTATTATTGATATATAATTAAGGATCCTAACAATTCTCTTCAATTCTGTATTTGATTCTCAAGTTTATATTAAATTTAATAGGTGGGATATACTCCACCATTATTTTTAATAGTGTTCCAAACCTTATGTAATTTCCTACAATTCTGTTCGATTCCAATTTTCAGAACCATATGTATAATAAATGCATTATGTTACTGCACCACACTACGCTTATCCATTTTCTCCACAATAGTGGGCAAAACTAAAAGGCACACATCCTGACACATTAATACTCTACCTATACAATTAGAATTTCAGTACTGGTAATATATGAAGAATAAAGAGCAATAGGTTGATCGGTAAATAAGATTAATCTGAATCTTAGGTAGCTCTACTTGGGAATTTAGCAGTGAAAATTTGTATAATACAAATTTGCATATACTGTACAAAAAAAACCTCATAAAATAAGATGTATGCTAGTCATAGAAAAAAAAATTTTTTTTAAGAGCTAAATTACAGTATAATACACATATAGATTTTATTGTTAAATCAGTTAATATTATAAATATTTATATATAAACAATTTATTATGATAATTATTGCCAATATTAACTTATATTATCTACTTTTTTTTATTAAAATATCAATTTATATCTTGTAGATATATCAATGTTCTAATTTATATTATAACTTTTTACCTATAAATATAAAATAAAAAAAATTATATTTAACAATTAAAAATTTTCCAGTAGTTTTCTTTTAACTTTTTATTTAAC